AATAATAAGTTAATATTTTTATTAACAATATAAAAATAAGTAATTCCCTTACTAATTCACATAATTTTTCTAGTTTTAATTTAGATTTTAGTATCTTGAATTATTCTACTATCTTGAATTTTTTTAGTCTTAATTTAGATTTTAATATTTTGAATTAAATACAAAATCATCGTCGTCATTTTCTTCCTAAGATTATATTTTTAATAATATAATATCTTGAAATTGTTTATAGTTTTATATAATTAAAAATTCAAAATTAATTATAGTTTTTTGTTTTTTTAACAATAAAAATAAAATTATATTAAAAAAAGTTTGGAATTTATTTTTGGGTCAAAAAAGGTCAACGCCGGAGTCAACACCGGTCAACGCCAGAGTCAGTTGACCGGTGTATCAGAATTTTATGTTTATGGTGTTGACTACATGACGTTGTATAGTTGATGCATGTGGCCATGCAATACATCTAGCTCGTGTAGCTGAGTATATAATATGATACTTGGCATGTGTGACCATGCATTACTCTATAGTTGGTGTAGCTAGCTGTCTTTTTTCCTTTTTTTTTTGTTCCGTTTAGTTTGGTATGATTTTTGTATTTTTTTTTGAATCTTCAAGTCTCTTTTTTAATTTTAGTTTTTTTTCTTTCGATTTCAATTTTTTTAATTTTAATGCCCAAAAAAAAAACATTTGTGGAAACAGATTTTAAATATTCAAATAATCTCCTCATTATTAATTCGGAAGTACATTTATAGAATAAACCTTATTAAGGGTAAATAATTACATTAAAATGTCATTACATAAATAGGGTTACAAAAAAAATATTCGTTATGGATCAAAAATGTTCAATACTAATTTATATAATTTAATTAAATTATTAAAACGAAAATAAATTATTAATTTTCAAAAAAATTAACCAATCAAAAATGAATATGTAAGATTTGATATCTACTTTAACCAATTAAAATGAGTATGAAAGATTTGATATCTAATTTACTATATTAAATTATTATTAATCATTATATTCCACCTCTCATCTTTAATATGATCGTTATTTTGTAAAATATAAAAATAATTATATCATCCATATAAGAATTTTTTTTTGATATTTTTCCTATATTTCATGATTTGAATTTTTAAAAACAAATAAAAACTGTTTAATCTATGAATAAAAAAATTAACGGTTTAGTCTCTGGTTTTTGGTTTTGGTTTTGGTTTAGTCTCTACCAAACTAAAAATCATTTATATATATAGAAATACATTGGATTGACAATGGTTTAGTCTCTTATATCCGTAAGATCCCTTTAAAACATAAATAATAACATTTTATTCATTTTAATTCATTTTAGTTTGTAATTTTTGATTATGTTTAAAGAATTAGTTTGTTTTAATTTTTTGGCGGAATGATTGTCAAAAAGCTCCACAAGATTATTGCCTAATCGTCTTGTTGTATTAAAAAGGTTTTTTAATATAATCTGATCTCTCGGAAGAAGATTACCATGCGCATTGTGCTGCCTAAGAAACTATTGAAACATATTGATTTGTTTTTGCAAAAGAACAAATGTGTGTCTTTCCAAGTAACGCATAATGTTGAGGGCATGCAAACCATTTATTTTCAAGCCCTTGAGGTAATACTAAAATATCTATTAATAGATTGGATTTGAGTTTTATCTTTTGTACTAAAGTTGAGATGTTTGGTAGACACATGGAGAGTGCTCCTCTATCAAAGACCTTACACATAATTGCTAGTTTATATATATGAGAGACGTCATAAATTTCATCTTAAACATTTGTTTATGGATGATTATGTGATGAAATTTTTTATTGAAGACGAAAGTGTTTTAAACTAAATGATAGGAAATATTAGATGTCAAAATCACAATAGTTCAGATATAAAAGGCCAAAAATTTATAGGTTAGATTTTCAGTTACTTTAAAAAAATTTAAAGTGTTCTTTTTTTTACTAATAAGTTTTTGTTTTTGTCTTTTTCTTTGTCTTTTTCTTAGATCATACAAAGTTTTGAAGATGTGAAAATTATTATTTTCAAATCTAACTATTTTTGTATGAAATTTTTTTTTTCCTAGGTCATTTATAAAAAATGTAGGCTATAAAAGATTTCTCGACTTTTATAACCTACATATTTTTTCTTTGCGTTCTACCTTCTCCAAACCTACAATGGGTTTAGAATAAAGTTTTTGTTACAATGCAAACACATCCACCTTAATTAGAAAAATTCAATGAAAAATATTCCAAAAAGAGTTCCAAAGTCAATCAACAACACCAATATTAGATCAGTTCCTTCTTTCTTGTCCATACGTTCAAAAATATACTCTACCGTCTACACTGCATATACAGGCCCATAATTACAACAAGTGCCAGCAAAATCCGGCGACGAAAACAACCAAGTCTATCTTCGACCTCCGGCGCCAGAAAACACAAAGCCTCCGTAAAAAGACCCAACAACACCGATACGGCTACGTCAGAACCACAGCACCACGATAACTTCACCGAGGAAGACGGAGAATTCTGAGTATACAAGCAGAAAAGATGGGGATAATATTGTAATGTCAAAATCTCGTAATTCTATCTTTTTGTTGTTTTATCATTCTGATTCCATCGATTTTGGAGAGATATTGGAAATTTTGTTTGCTAACTTGATCTGAGTTTTCGAAATTTTGCTTCTTGACATATTAGATTGTGTTTGTTTGATGGATTGAATTCAAATTATGACATGATGGTTATGCTTGTTCTGTCTACATTTGTAGGGATTCATTTCAGTAATGTTTAATCTCTCTCAAGTGTTGTTTAAGTTTCTGAACTATATAATTCATGGATCAAGCTGACTTTGGAACTGATTTGTGTGAGATTGTTTGAGTCATGATAAGCCAGTTTATTAAATTAACTACAATCTTCCTGACGAAAGATGAAACTGCTTTCAGTTACATTTATGTGTGACTTTGGCTGCTTAGCTTCAAAGTAGGCAAGATAAAAGATATGTTCTTTTTCAGGTTTCTGTGGAAAGGAAATTGGGTTCATTCAAGAAAAAAGCTGCAAGATCCTTGCTTGGATTAAAAGGTATTCAATAATGCTTATCTATCATACTTCTATCAAACATTTATGTAACATACAACCTCATTTTACATTTACATACAGTGCCACGCAATGCGAAAGAAGGAGGTCACCAAGAACGCCCTCTTCTGCATCCAGAGACTCCTTCCTCTTGGGTGCTAAGTACTCTGCATTTTTATATAATATGGAAAGGAACCAAAACACCCATATCATGTTCTTTAACACTAAGGAACCTCCAAGATCTGATATAGACCCCATTCTCCAATCTTATAGTTTTTATTAGCGTATGTTCCCATCTCAAAGACAAGCCCGGTGGAAGTAACCTCCTCTGTTTCAACTTCAAATATGTAGATATGCTCTCTTAAAACTCCAAATATATGATGGCTGCTTGGTGACCGAACTTTGAGATCATTCTGTTTGTCCTTGATCTTAATAAATATAGAACAACGATCATCACCAGTTTCTCCGTTGATATTAACCAGCATGATGCAAGCCTTAAATCTCAAAGATTTAGGAAGAAGCAACTCATTCAACTTGATTGTCAATAAACTTCCAGCAGTAGCTCGGTGATTGAAGCAGGCAGGCACTTCTGTACTTGGTAACATTGCATAATCAGAAGTGGATGTGTGCATGATGAGATCTCTGGCTTCTTGATTCAGTTTGAAGCAGTTGCTGAACTTCAAACGGATCTCCGGATTGTTAAAGGAACAATCCAGTCTCTCAAGGGATTGACAATTTTCTGCATCTATGTCATATAGGGAATCTGAAAATTGGGGGAGGGATACCAGATTCTTGCAGTTGTCGAGTCTAAGGACACGTAAACGAGACATTCCCTTGACACATGGAGCAACTTCTTGTATATTTTCATTCAACTGCAGCTCTGTGATGATGTCAAGAGCATGCGGGAATTCCTTGAGGCTTTCAAAGTATGACATATGAAAATCTAAAAGACGAGACCACGACATAATCGACAAAGGAACTTCTTTTATTGCAGTTCCTGTGAGCAACAGATACCGAATATTTGTGGAGATCTCAGGAAACCTTTTCAACTGCGAGCAATCTGTGAGATCAAGTAAATAGAGAGATTTCATGTTGATGTTGGTTGGAAGAGCCTCTAGCTTTAAGCACCCTCTCATTTTCAACGTAGACAATCTCTGAAGGTTCCCTATAGAGGATGGAAGCTCCACCAGATTTGAGCAGTTAGATAGATCAAATTCTATGAGATTAGTGAGATCTCCAATAGAGGAGGGGAGATTGACGAGACTTGAGCACCCTCTGATTTCTAATTCCCTCAGATTTGTGGCAGTTCCAATAGAAGCAGGGAGCTCTAGTAGACTTGAGCAATCACTAAGATACAATACCTCAAGTTTAGTTGCATTCACAAGTGAGGGAATCTCCACAAGACTTAAGCAATAAGAGAGATCTAATCTCTCGAGATTGGTCAAATTCTCAATAGAAGAAGGGATTTTCACAAGGTTTGAGCAATAAGAGAGATTTAGTTTCTGGAGGTTGGTTGCATTCCCAATAGAAGAAGGGATTTTCACAAGGTTTGAGCAAAAGGAGTGATTTAACTCAACAAGATTAGTGGCAGTTGAAAGATCGGGAAGCTCTTTCAGATCTTTAGAGTAAGACAAATCCATCCACCTAAGATTTTTAAGTTGCTGCATTGACAAATAAGAAAATGTTAACACGATTGGCTTATCAAATTGAAGTTTGTTAAACACTAGTTATTTTTACGGAAACAAATTATAGATATATAAAAAAGGTTCTGAAATTTTATTTTATTTTAATCAAAATTACTTACTTTAGTTCCTTCCCATAGGTTTTGAAGCTTGCTGTAACTCATACATAGTTCGACGAGAAATTCGGGATTAAAAGTAGATGGCAAACATGTATTCTGGAAATGACTCCAATCTACTAATCTAATATTTTGAGGATAATGAAGCAGTGAATGCAGTCTCTCAACCTGAGCAAGGTCCAGACCTTTGATTTTTACGAATTGGAGATCAAACATTCTTTCAAGTGCTTTTTCCCTTACGGTCAATTTTTCCTCGGTATTAGATAAATCTAAATTTATGCCCATAAAACGCCTATTATCCTAGAAAAAGAAATATAAGTAGATATGGTTAGTTATAAAATAAACTCAATTCGTAAAGAGAAATATTGAACAGCATAACTTACTGTTGTATCATTGCTAAGCTCTTCACATATATCTCTTGCATCGACTAAAAGATAATGTTCCCTAAGGCCATGCTGAACAAATTGCTTACGTGAAGTTTCTAATCCAAATTGATGTAGCAAACGATGCATCCGTATCATTCCATTTTTAATATATATGAGAGATCTTTCAGCTAAAACGTCAAGACCTTGCCTCACATCCGAGAACTTCTTTGCAAGAATCGCTTCCACTTTATGTTGATATACGCCGTTGAAAAAGCAAGATATATAAAGAAATAAATATTTATACTCATCATTATCTAAGGCAGCATAACTGAACATTATAATGTTCTTTATTTCTCCATTAAGGTTGGTCTTTAACATTGGTAGTGTCCTCTCCCACTCTGCCTTGGGCCTTCCTTTCAAAGTGGAGCCTAGAATCTTCAGACCCAAAGGGAGTTCACCAGCAAGGCATGAAACTTTCCTAGCAAGCTCATCGAAGCCATCATCTGGGTGCTTGTGTCCAAAGGCATGCATACAAAAGATTTGAAAAGCCTCATCACTTGTTGGAAAACTCACTGTGTAAAAATGATTGATCTTAAGAGCTTTAAGAACTCTTAAATCTTCTGTTATGATAATAATTCGACTTCCAGGACCAAACCATCGGGTTTCCTTCGCCAAGGCATATACTTGTCCTAACTGATCTACTTCATCAAGAACGAGACACACTTTCTTTTCTTTCAACCATTCTTGGGCCATTCCTAAATGAGAAATCTTGATATCTTTCTGATTCATCATTTGAGACAACATTTGGGTTTGAAGTTGCAACTGAGCACTATACTCATCCGAACAAGTCCTTGGATAGGGATAACTTCTTCTAATATCAACCATGATTGCACTAAGTTGGAATCTGCTAGAGAATCGCTCTAACATAAATCTAGCGATGGTTGTCTTGCCTATACCAGGCGGACCCCAAATCCCAATTATCTTTACCTCATCCAAATCTAGGCGTAATAATTGCTCTATCCTTTTCATATGAGCTTCTATCCCAACTAAACCATCAAAATCTCTTGACGGTGTCGAGTTATTCAACATGTTTGAAATATCACTGGCTAACTTTTTGATCATGGCCGCTTCATTGATCCTAACATGGAGGATATTAACATAATTAAATCAATCAATAATCTAGTCATGAAAAATTCGCATACATATATACAGATCCTTAAGATATGTATTTTATGTGTTTTGATATTTTTAAACTATGTCCTCTACAAATTAACATAGTTTGAACTTTGAACTCTAACTCTTAAGGAGAGTATAAATCAAGAGGACATACCATTGGTGAAAATGATATCCCGCGATTGTGGCCACATCTTCCAACGCTTTTCTCCATATCCCAGTGCGCTCTTTTGTTTTACCTTCACAAGTTTTTCTGAAGGCTTCTCCAAAACCTCCTGTCTGTTTCCTTACTTCAGTTGGTTCCACTTCATAGAAAATAGTCACGACTATTTTACCCAACTCTTTCCTGCATTTCATGATCTCTGCCAACTCATCAAGACACCACGAAGAAGAAGCATAGTTCTTGGAAATTAACACGATTGCGATCTTCGATCCTTTATTAGCTTCTTTGAGCTCAGGACCGATCGACTTGCTCCTCGGTATATCATTATCAATGAATGTGTCGATTCCCTTTCTCTTGAATGATTCCAGGATGTGACTAAGAAAGGTGCTTCGGACGTCTGCCCCGTGGAAGCTTGGGAAGACATGGTATTTCCAGTTCCGAGATACAGAAGACGTTATAATATCTTTGCTGTCTTGTTGGAATATGAATTTTGTATAAACACTCGCTGCGACTGCGTCAAAAAGGAAAAAAGAAAAAATCATTTGTATGATAAAAACAGGATCAAGAATTTTGATAGATATAGGAAATATTAACATACCGTTGAAGACTCTGTTGGCACAGAAACTCAAAGGACGTTTCCAAGAAAACTCATCTGGAAGAATCAATCTGCAATTCTCATCATCGTTGGTTGAGCATATCTTTTGTCTTTTAACAGATTCGGTTTCCACATCCTCCTGACTCGTAGCTTTCCTCTTTCTACAGCTCAAGCTCATTACAGAACCCATTGATGGAATCAAGAAGCTTCACTGCAGCAATTATTAGTTCCCACAATTTGGTGAAAGAATGAATAAAACAAGAAACCCAAAAGTTAAAATCAAGAACACATAATCAAGAACTGGTCTCAAAACACTAATTGAAAAACAAAGAAACCATCAAGATCAACATAATCATCATCAATCAAAAATAAACATAATCATCAAGAAAAAATAAGCATAATCAAGAACTGGTCTCAAAACACACTAATCGAAAACAAAGAAACCATCAAGAACCAGTCCAGTCAATTCGATTCCATAGT